TGAGTATGATACTAATGATTGGTCTGTTATGACAGCTAATACAATTGAAAAATATTATGATATTTGGGCATTAAGAACTTTATCAGAAACAATACTTAATTACGATGTGTTGCATCGAATATGGTCACTGGAAACTATTGGTATTTACTGTAAAGCTTCGTTAGTAAAAAACATACTTAATATCCATGAAAAACCATTTTCAATTAAACGAGGCCTTTTAGAAGTTCGTTCAGCGTTTGGTGGTGCTGGATTATATAAAATGGATTCAACTAAAAATTGCTATTATTCTGGTGCAAATCGTACATGTGAACATGTTCCATTTCACTTATGCATGCGAGAAAAAAATCAAGCAAGAATATTTATTAATCCAAAATTTATACATAGACGATTACACAATATCAAATAACTTGTTTCTTTTTTTGTTTTCGTATTGAATAAGAACATGTGTAGGACATTTGTAACTAGATGTATCTTTTTTTTTTACATGAAAAGATATTATAGACCTATCGAATAAAATGTCATGAAAAATAGTAGTTATTTTTTTTATTTTGATATATTAATTGATTTGTCTATTAATTTTTCCCACGAACTGAAAACATTACAAAAACAAATAATGTTCAAAATACATTTTATAATAAATAAATTTATTTTCTTCAAGACATACTTTGATAGTATGAAATTGAATATGTTTATTTGATTTCATAGAAGAACTAGTATTGGATATGATGCAGCAAAGCATTTTTAAGAGAAGAAAACATTTGTTGAGAAAAAAAGTTCTTTGATGCAAGATGCCTGTGAGGAACCCTTGCCGTCATTTTTTTCGAGAAAATTTTATTTTTCAAAATTGTTTTGTCTTATATATCATTCGACGCAGTTTAATGCGCTGATTTCGAATATATTATTTCTGTCGATTAAATGTTTTTTCAAAGCCAGAAAAGGCTGAAACATACTTGAAAAACCTAGGTTTTTTCGAAACTCACAACACAGTCTAGGAGTGTTTGCGCTAACAGGAATTACAGACAATAGATAGAAGGACATGCTGGCAAATTTTGGAAAAGTTTGAAGCTTGGATGTGAGTGGATTGCTCATTTTATGGGACCAGCCCTTCAGACGACACTGTAGAATAAAATATTATTTTTTTTCTCAGAAGTTAAACGTACAAATTAAAAAGTATTTTTTTATCATTGTGTAGAACTGGGCTTGAAGATTCAGGAAATGTACTTGATTTATCTGTTGAACAGTTTAATTTTGCCAGATATCAATTTTTCCGGTGACATCTCGATTTTCAGGCTAGTTTTAGGCAATTAGTTTTTCAGTTACTTTGAGTGTTCTAACAAAGTTATTTATACCATTAGATAGGCTATATTTCGAACTATATTTCACCATATTAAAAGCTTGAGAAAGTGCGATTTTCACTTTTAGCCAAATGTCCACCTAGATGCACAATATGAGCTGACCTCCGATTGCGATTTTTTTAAAATATAGGAATACTTAGAGGATCAAGTTCGTCTAAAATATAGGATTTTCGATGAAAAATGACAAAAATATAGGATTTTTTATAGATCGTTTCTGTTCATTTGTTTTGGTGTTTTTTAACTTCTCTACTCGAATATCGTTTTAGTGAAGCTGTTGTAAACAGTTCCACCATGATCAAGATTTTTATGTGATTTCTTTCTACTAAAATAAGCCGCTAATTCGAGGATCATTATAAAGCTTAATTACAAAACTTTTTCACAAATCAATATATAACAATAAGGTTGATCACAAAGTTTGAAAAAATAAACACATGAAAAAAATACTATTTCTTATAATTAAACTTGACTTGTATCAATAAAACTCGATTATAAATAGACAAAAACACTTGAATAATAATCAT